GCGGTGCCTCTGCAACAGAACACCGAAAACGTGGAGATCTCCCAAACGACGGGGATTTGACAGCTATGGCTGTAGGTTGTGCGACTCACGTGCAGGTCGAGCACGACGGTGCTAGCATCCTCGAACCGCTCCTTGTCGATACCAGTTCCCGTTGCTTCGAACTTCTGCTTCAGGTAGGCGGCGTTCTGGACGGCTGAGTGGAAGCTCGGGTGCTTGGGGGTGAAGCCATGCGTAGCCAGAGCCTGGAAGAATCGAGGGTGGAAGAGGGCCGGAAACGTGAAGATGAAAACATCGAAGCGTACCCTCTCCACCAACGAACCTGCAACAAAACTTCGTAGTGGACGGCGGTCAGAGCTAGCACTAATGCTGTTAACTTTGGTTCAAAGCAGCAGCGGAAGGAGAAACAACAACAACAACAACAACAACAACAACAACAACAACAACAATATCTACGAGCAACAATATTCGACGAGCACGCCCGTCGTTTCTCTCGCCTTGCCACTGAACCGCGACCCCTCCTCGACGAAGAGGACCTGAAGCATCATCACTCCCAACGAGAAGGTGTCGAGGGAGGGCTGCAGCATCGCCCTCTGAGGAATCTCTCGGCGCAAGAACACCGCAACGGCCTCCGGTGCGGCGTACTGCTTGGAGAGCCCACAGATGGGCTCTCCGCTCGAGCCTGAGCAAACACACGGAAAAACATCGTGTCAACTGTTTAACCTCCGCCGTTTTGGTGGTGGTGGTGGTGGTGATGACAGCAGTACAATGTCAACAATGTCACAACATCATTACAAAGTACGCCTACATACGAAGTTGAAACGTCACGAATACCTCTGAACCAAGTCTCAGCCCGTACAGTGGTTGCGAAAACAGTCTAACCTATTTAGAAACTGTCCAAATACTTGCCGCTCAACCCGAAGTCGGCGAGCTTGATGACCAACCCCTTCGTCAAGAGGCAGTTTTCCGGCTTGACGTCACCGTGCGTCAGGCCCAGCTCAGAGTGGAGGTAGTCCAACCCGCGAGCCGCCCCTGCCATCATCCTGATAGATAGCGTGAGAGATAAACCTGAGCGTTCAGCATTCTCGAATCAAGAGTGGAGACATTGTTTGGTGCTACTGTGAGGAAGTAGGGCAATACTAGGATCGAGCAGGAGCCTTGAGCTGAACTGCTGGAGCTGGTGAATGCAAGTCGGAGTACATAGCCTACAGCATCTAGCAGACTGCACATGTTTGTGCCGACTCTCGCTGTCTCGTCGTCGAAAGCACGTTCGAGAGGAGCTTCTTGAAACACCACCGAGAGTGATATTCGTAGAAGAGGCAACAGGCATTGTATTTCTTCCTGTGTCGTCTAGAAAAAGCTCATTCCAGCCTTACTATTAATAGGAGATTGACATGTGTTTTCCCGACACCGACAAATAAGCGTCGTGATTGCGCTGGCCTGACCCGCAGGTTGCCCCCAGCTTGGCTCACATCATCCTGTCGGCGAATGACATCATCTCGAGCACCGCCTTGTCCTCGAGCAGGTGCTGGACGTCGCAGAACGCGGCCGGCATAACCATGCACAGGTTCTCCATGCTCGTGGACATGATGTCGATGACGTTCACGTGGCATCGCGGAGGGATCCTGCCAAAGGAGGTTCGGGAGGCGTACCGCCGTGGGCACGGTAATAGCACCGCAGGAAGATTCAAACAAAGGGTCGGCCCGACTCAACGCGATGCATGAACGTAGACTGTTTTCCAGCGTTCGCCTAGATGCGGCGTTAGGTGTGGGTGAGGTGTTTGTCAGGTCACCAATTGAATCTTCGATAGCTTGCTTATAGGTTTTCTCGAACGACTTCACGTAGCCGAATACATGGTGCTTACAGTGAACAGGGTAGACCTTGGGGGGGGGGATTTGAAAGGAAGGTATACTCGTTGCCAACGGTTAGCCCGAACGGAACTCGCGACTCACATCTTCACCACTCGAATCTCCCTCTCCATCGCCATCTCCATGGCACGACCGCCGTCCTGGATTCAAATCAAGTCAGGGGAGTGGATGGAATGGTGTCGGGCCGTGCGATCTTGGAAACAAATGTGAACTTTGACGGACATTTCTCAGCCGACGTTGTCGATCGAACACCGAAAACACCGAAAACTAAGGGGCAAACGTACGGACGGTCCATATAGATGGTTCCCTGCACAACAAACGAAATTTGAACTAAGCACATGGTTACAATGCAAATATGAGCAACTGTACACGAGGCACCACACCAACTGTAACACACCATGGGGACAATCTTCACCACGAGCCCCGCGTCTCCCGTGTACTCGTCCACACGGCTCTGGTGTTCGGCGTTGAGCATCTCGAGCCTGGCCACCACGGCACACCCCCCCTGCCCCAGCCGTCGGCCAAAGGTGGACATTCGCCCGCCCGCACTGGCAAGCTCGGTGATGAACCCGAACCGCCCGTCGTCCCCACCGTACATCGCCAACCCCCCTTCGCTGACAGGCTCTTGGTCACTGTCGCTGTGAGGGCTCGACAGGTTGTTGCCGTCGCCTCGAAGACCGGTGTAGTGGCCCATTCCGGAGGGAGGGGCGGCGAGTGCGGCGGTCTGACCGGAGGCAACGGCGGCGGCCGAGGGCTTCGTGGCGGGGGCGATGCTGAAGTCGTCCACGTGCTGCGGCGGGGGTGGTCGTGGTGATCCAACGCCCGGCGGCAGTGGCACCGGCGTCGGCATCGGTGAGGGCGTGGAGACGTGGAGCGGAGGGACACCTCCATCTACGACCATCGCCGGTAGCTCGGCCTTCGGCGGCTGACGAGGCCCCACGCCGGTGGCCGCGTGCGCGAAATCCGTCGCGCTTCCACGAAGGGCCACCTTCGGCCTGAATCCCTTCTCTCCTTCCTTAGTGGCGGCCGCCGGCGTGAAGGCCGGAGCGCATGCTCGGAGGGGTGTCCTCGGCGTGAAGGCAGGAGCGCATGCTCGAAGAGGTGTCCGCGGCGTGAAGACGGGAGCGGATGGTCGCAGGGGTGTCCAAGGTTTCGCTTGATCCACGTCGTCGACTTGGGTGTCCATCTGGTCGTCGTCAAAAGGAGGTAGTGTCGGGGAGTCGGTTGGTTGATTGATCGCGTTGCGCAGCGAGAAAAGACGTACCAGGTACAATTGTTTTCCTCATAACTAGTTTGTTCCAGGGGGCAACACGCAGAGTGGCAGGCGCCTCTCGTTGTGTGTTGCAGAACCGGATAACCGTCGAGTACACTTTAAAATTATCAGCAAGGGGACAGAGGGTGAGGGATCCAGGCGAATATTTCGGCCACATGACGTTCAAAATGAAGTCATCACGCCCAAAACAGTGTGTTGCGGCAGCGACCGGTGTTCATCCACACACCATGACTGGGCACGAGTGGCGACCATTGGACAAACGCAAGAGTGCTTCGGTGGCGTATGACCAACAAACCTCCTGTTCCGCCGGAAGCTCGACCACCTCGGCCGTCGCAAACGCCCGGCGAGGCAGCTGCGCGGATACCTCGCCGCGCGCGCCTTGGGGACCGTCTTCGTCCGTTGTCCCTTCGATGTCGTCGTCGCACGTGTTGCTCTCCGTGCTTCCGTCAGGGGGGAAGTAGCCGCCCCAGGCCTCGCCGTCGTCGGTCCAAGGGGATGGAGGACCCCCCTCCGCCTCTCGCTCCCCCGCGCGGGATGAGCTAGCGTACCCGCCGGTGCTGCCACCACCGATGCTGCTGCCGCTCCCTTCGTCGCTACCGAGGGACGTCTCGTAGCCGCCCCACCACCCCCCGCTGTTGGTCGAGGCGGGGGAAGAGAGAGTCCCCTCGTGCTTGCCGTCTTCGGGTTCGCTGTTCGGTTGGTCTTTGGGGGCCTCGTCTTCTCGGGCTAACGGGCTGGCTAGATCGAGGGCTGGGTCGACGCTACCGCTCTCCTAGGACCAATGGGGTGCGGGAGTTGATATGCAGCAGTTTGCAAGGGGTTTCGTTGTTGTGGTGCCTGAAAAGCCCAAACCAGCACCGGCTAGATATCTCGAGCCTCGTTCTGTAGCGCAAGGTTGGGATGTCAATCTTATCCTACTGGAAACCTGAGCCAACCCAGGTGGAGAGAATGCGACAGCGCTGAATCGATCGGCCAGCCTTATCGGCAACACAACACGTGTGTTTCGCTACATACGGAGAGTAATCCGCGCTTGGGTGATCTGGCAGGGACCACACGACCGTCGCGAAGTGTTTGCTACAGGCTTGGAGAAGGGGTGATACATGCACGTGCGTGAGGCTTGAGGTAGGCGACGACAGAGGCAGAGGATCTCGAGAAATACTCTGGCCCCTGGGAAATTCATCGAGTCAGTATGTGCCAGTACACTAAATACGCGTTACAAGAATTTGGGGCGAACAACGTATATACTCGCTACAAGAAGAGCGAGCGGCCCCTGGAGACGCGGACGGCCACTCTGGCTGCGGGAGGCACGACAGAGATGCAACAGTAGTACTGGCACCCTAGGCGCGGGCCTCTTGGTTTCGCGCTTTGTCTCTCCTCGTCTACCCTGCTCGGCATCTCTGCAACAGCAATCGGTTAGTGTCTGGGCATGAAGAAGATGCTGTCCAAGCCTAGGTCAGAAAGCGGCGGAAACGGGCGA